GGAGGCTGCAGTTGGCCAGCCCCGGTGCCGGGCGGTTGGGCAGAAGGGCATCCGAGGCCCGCGGTGTCCTGGAGAGGAATCAGGGGCCGTCGGGGTCGGAGTCCAGCCCAGGAGGGCCCCGCAGTCACAGGGGAGGGCCCCTCTCCATCCTCGGGCCCGGCCCTGACTGTCCTGTGCTCCCTCCGCTGCAGCCCGGCCGCTGCCCTCCTGAGGTCCGAGTTCCACCTCAGCACCCACGTCGCCTTCCTGGTGGAAGATGCTAACGGGAACCAGGCCACGAGGGGGAGCTTGAACCCGTGGGGTCTGCACTGCCACCAGGCCCACCTGACCCGCCTCTGCACCGAGTACCCACAGAACAAGCAGCACCATATCCTTGCCAGCCCCCCTGCCACGGAGTCCCCAGGGCAGGAAGGTGCACCTATGAAAGAGGGAGTGGGGAGGGAGGCAGGAGCCCTCAAACCTGGGACCTAGAAAAAAACAGTTCTTTCCCAAAAACAAATCAGAGATGATGTGAGAGCCAGACTGGGAGTTCAGCAGAGCCTAGTGCCCTGGTGGCCACCGCTGTGTCTGCCCCAGCGCTGGGGGCTCTGTGGGCAGGTGGGAATGGCGACTGCCACGCTGGGCGGGGATGGCGGGGCCTCAGAGGGCTGGGTAGGTCCCCTGCACCGCACCCTCCTCCTACCCCGAATTCTCCCCACGAGCTGATGGGGAGGGAGGGAGGGAGGCTCCCCCTGAGGGAAGGCCACGGTGGACCTTAGGGGAGGCATCCCCCCACCTCAGGCTGCCCTGTCCTCCGTGAGCAAACTTGGGCTCGAAGCGCCCCGTCCCCCGGGCTCCTCCCTGCACTCGGGCGCTGGTGTCACCGGATTCGCTAAGACACATCTGCAGCCCTAACCCCTGAGAATCTCGGCAGGATGATGCCTCCACTAAGTTAATATTCCTGCAACTCCTCTCCCCACAGGGACGGCCCATTCGGTGACTAGGGGTTTTAGCCTATGATTTCCTGCCATAAACTAAATTGGGCAAGGCCTGCCCGGGTTTAGGGCCTGCGTTTAAACTCCAACCTCAGAGCGAAAAGGGAGAAGCGCGCCTGCTCACTAGCTCCCGAGAGTGGGCTTGTGAACGCAGACCGAGCCCTCGAAGCGACCTGCGTCTCTCCCTAGTGCGCCCGGCCGCCCCGAGAGAAAGCCCCTCCCCAGGCGCCGCCTGCCTCCGTGGGCGGCCTCGGCCTCAGGACCTTCCTTAACCAGCGTGACCAGGGTTCCTGCTGCTGGAAAACGTCGTGTCCCAGTACAAGCACCCCTGCGTGCTGGACCTGAAGATGGGGACCCGGCAGCACGGGGACGACGCGTCCGCCGAGAAGAAGGCCCGCCACATGACCAAGTGCGCGCAGAGCACCTCGGCCTGCCTGGGCGTGCGCATCTGCGGCATGCAGGTGGGTGGCCCTGCGTTCCAGGGGGGCGCAATGCCGCCCGCCCAGGGCATTCCAGGGGGGCGCGATGCCACCCGCCCAGGCACCGGGCTTTGGGGAGCATCAGAGGCGCCCCTCTTCCCCCGGGAAACACATCCTGTCTGATGCGCTGCGTCTTTTAAAGAGCGCCTCTCAGGACAGTGGTGCCAACAGTCTTGGGCAGCTGCGGCCACAGTGGCCACGCGGTCCTGCCCGCGTGGAGAGCAGAGCTTTGAGGACCGTGTGCGTGCAGCGGCTGGGAAGACGGGAGGAAGAGTTCTCTGTCCATTCCGCGTTCTCTGAACGATAAAGCTGAACTCCTCCTTCCCGGATACTTCCCGTAAGGCAGTCTGTCTCCAAGTTGTGTTTTTGTTTTTTTAAATATATTTTTATTGATTTCAGAGAGGGAGAGGGAGAGAGAAACATCAATGATGAGAGAGAATCATTGATCAGCTGCCTCCTGCACGCCCCCCACTGGGGCTGTGCCCGCAACCAAGGTACATACCCTTGACCGGAATCGAACCTGGGACCCTTGAGTCCGTAGGCCGACGCTCTATCCACTGAGCCAAACCAGTTAGGGCTCTCTGAGTTTTTTTTGGACTTTCTCTCTTCTTACACCACTTTTTCTGCTTCTTGCTACTTGTTCTGGTTAACAAAATGGGAAGGTTACAACCTAAGCCCGGGCGAAGGAATGGTTACTTTTTATTGCCCCAGACCCTGCACTTTATTTGTGCTGCTCTGGTGTGGCTCATGCAGAGGCCGCGGACAGGAGGAAATAAACGTTCTCCATTGGTTTGCTCTTACAATTTATCCACTCAAAGCACAAGCAGACACGAGGTGACGGGAACGTCGCAGCGCTCCTTAATTGAAACCGCCGCCCTTGAAGCGGAAGCCGAGTCTGTAAATTGGTTGCACAGCAGGCTCGGAACACAGTCCCCAGGAGCAGCAGTGTGCCGAGCTGGGGTGTAAACGGAATCTCTCTGGACCCTCTGAGACGGATTGGATGTGTCTGGAAGGTGGTGCCTGGCATGTATGGCTGACGGCTGATTTAGCAGCCGGTCCCCAACCCTCCAAAGGCAACACCAAGTCTATCCTGTCTTTCTGACACTTTTCAACACTGGTTTTCTGTAAACGTATCATGTAATCTGAAGGCAGGAAAGGCCTGAGACACTGTGTTGGCCAGGTACGCGCAGCCCTTCCCAGGTGTGCCAAGCAGCCAAGCCATCCTCTGGCCAGGCCGCTCTGGCCTCAGGTCAGCCTCTGCTGCCGCCTGTGCCGTCTGCCACTGTCCCCCATCAGTGCCTCTTCCCTGCTCCCATCTGGTGGCCCAGACATGACGGGGCGGGAGAGAAGCTGGTGCCAGGGTGCGGAGCCACAGCCCCACAGAGCTGCTGGGCCCCCCCTCTGATACCCAGGCTCCCCTCAGCTGCACGGACACCCCCAAACTCCATCTACCCCTGATCTGGCCCGTCTCTTATCTTCAAAATATTCACCCCCCTCTACCCGAGAGCCATTATTGTTTCCTTAGAATCCCCAGAGAAAGGACTTCATAAACTTCGTGGGGGAAATGCAATCTAGTTGGCTTTCCAAGGCCATTGGCTGTGACTTCAGATTCCTACGAAAGCTTCCTCGCTTGGGTTTGCTAATGTCTGAGGAGGGCCCGAAGCCCGGGTTTAAGTCATGGTTTGGGGTTGACACTGGAAATTTGCACGAAAGGAGATCCAGCCCTTTTCCTCGTGGGGGGGGGGGGTCGCCTCTTAGGGTGAAGGGTCTCTGGCCCTGGGTCCCGTTAGAGCCTGTGCGGGAAGCAGTGCAGATGTAAAGCTGAAGGGCGCAGAGGAAGCTGCCGTTCTGTGCGTCTCAGCGTCCCTGCCCTGCCCCCCACCCCGCCCCAGGACTGTTTATGTCATGTCAGCATGTGACGCTGAGCTGGGCAGGTGCAAGTTTTTGTTTGTAATTTTCGCGTTTTCTCTTTCTTTTTCTTGACATAAGGTTTATCAAACTGATAAGAAGCACTTTCTCTGCAAAGACAAGTACTATGGAAGGAAACTCTCGGTGGACGGGTTCAGACAAGCCCTCTATCAGTTCCTGCACGACGGGACCCGCCTCCGGACAGAGCTGCTGGGGCCCATCCAGCGCCAGCTGCAGGCCCTCCTCTCGGTCATCAGGAGCCAGAGTTCCTACCGCTTCTACTCCAGCTCCCTCCTGGTCATCTACGACGGGCAGGAGCCGCCGGAAAGAGCCCCGGGCAGCCCGCACCCGCAGGAGGAGGCTTTGCAGCCCACGCCCGGCAGCTGCCCCGGAGGCCTCCCCAAAGTTGACATCCGGATGATCGACTTCGCTCACACGACATACAAGGGCTCCTGGAATGAGCGCAGCACCTATGACGGACCAGACCCGGGCTACATTTTCGGCCTGGAAAACCTCATCCAGATCCTGCGGGACATCCAGGAGGGACAGTGAGACGTGGTGGCCCCCCAGTTCTGGAGCACAGTATCCAAAGAGACCTATTGGTAGCGAGGATAGTCTAGACCAGTGATGGTGAACCTATGACACGTGTGTCAGAGGTGACACGCGAACTCATTTTTTTGGTTGATTTTTCTTTGTTAAACGGCATTTAAATATACAAAATAAATATCAAAAATATAAGTCTTTGTTTTACTATGGTTGCAAATATCAACAATTTCTATATGTGACACAGCACCAGAGTTAAGTTAGGGTTTTTCAAAATGCTGACACGCCGAGCTCAAAAGGTTCGCCATCACTGGTCTAGACACGCCTTAGATGTCTCTGTAATAACATAGCTACATTCAGGAGCCATCGCTCCCACGGCAGGCTGAGTGAAGAGCCGCTGAAGAAGGCAGCTCAGAGATAACTCACACGCCTGGCGTCTGTGCTAACACTGGTCATCAGACTGGATGGTCCGGGTGAGATGGCGCATGAGGTAGAGGCGGCATCACAGTGAGACTCTGCAGTGTTTGCATGGAACATGCTTTCTTGTCACGCTGCAGTCCTGGCCGGCTGTGAGGCAAGTCCTCATTGAAGAGGGGGCTCCCGGTCATGGGTCTGCTTCATGGGCGGCCTGTGCCAAGGGCAGGGTGAGGTGAGGAACGCCTCCTACCTTCCTAAGAGGCCCTGCAGGGGGGCAGGATGAGTGGGACAGATCTGCCATCTCACCAGCTGCAGGCCCAGGTTCTGCATGGACAGGACCATCCCAGCAGCGCTGGCAAACCAACACCCGGTGCTCCGTTTCTGCCTGTGGGGGAAGGTCTCTTCCCGGACTTCCAAGTACAGTGCGGCCTTGACTTACGAGTGTCCTGACTAACAAGTTTTTCAAGATACGAGCCGTCTCTCAGCCGATTTTTTGCTTTGAGTTGCGAGCTAAAATTCGGGTTACGAGCCAGCTTCAGATACCCCACCGCTAGTTGGCGCAGCGAATGTCACAGTGAACGCCACATCAGCCCAGCATCACGTGTCTCACTCGTTCACTTTTTGATTTGACATACGAGTAATTTGAGTTATGAGCTCCGTCACGGAACAAATTAAACTCGTAAGTCAAGGCCCCACTGTACCTACTGGGAGCAGCCATTCTGCCAGAACCTGACAGTGAAGTGCAGCTGCCAGGGAGGTGGGATGTGCATGCGGAGGAGCCTCGGATGTTAAGCTACTCGCTCAGCTTTCTGTTTATTTATTGGGGGGGTGGGTCAGAAGTGAGGAGCCTGGGGGACCGAGGAAACCAGGCGCAATGTTTACAAGACCGGTGGGGGGACGAGTATGAATGCGGAACAAAGAGCAGCCGGCTCTAATTAATTCCTCTTCGGCGGTGTGCAAGCTATTACAATGCCCTGGAGTCGAGCACGGAGATGCGTCACCCAATTAGGGAAATAAATTTGTTAATAAAATTGCTGAGGTCATCAGTGATTATTTGGTGTGCCTTATTACCCTTCCTGTTTATTTATTCTGATCATCACACTACGCTGGCTCCAATTTATGGGTGACTAGAGTATTCAGCAAGAACAGTTCACCGATTTCCAGCAATCCCTCGGGCCCCGGTGGGAAATGGTAATAAAAGATTTGCATGCATCTACAAGGCTTTCCTGTGAACCTTATACAATGCAAAACTAAATAATTTCTGGATTCTCGTGGCTAATTGCCATCAACTTTCCAAAACCCATACTATTAGGAGGAAAGAGTAGCCTGTCTAACAAAAAACTTTTGTTCAATTTTGTGATACATTATATGAATTTCAAAGCAAGTTAACTTCCCTTCTTATGTTTGGCTGAGGTAATGACACATGAATTGGCATGCTCTGTGCCCGTGGCGGCAGCGCTCAGTCAAAGCCTGCTGGGTGGCAAAGGGAGGCAGCGGAAACCAAATATTTGCTAATTTCAAAGGGGAGCCCTGAATGCTGCTTTTTCTGAGCCACTTCGCTACTTGAGAACCTGGTCCCATATCAACCAACTCCAAAGCTTCCTGGCGTAGCTTCCGATCCCGCCATTGGCAGCCTGGGTGTGCGGGACTCGCCCGAGGACGAGGACGCGGTGGGAAGGCTCAGCTGGAATCTAGGTCTTTCCGGGCTGGCCAGCCCGTCACTAGCTGAGCTGCAACCACGCTCTGGAGCTGGCTCCTCATCCTGCCCACACGATGCCCCCTCTCTTGGCTACTCCTTTACCCCACACTGCCCTTCACGTCTGGCCTTCTTCCTCCTCTATAACTCACTCGAGGCCCAGCCCGAGTTCCCACCTCCTCCTGAAAAGGCCCCCAACAAAAGTGAAGTTTGTTGCAAGGGACAAAGCTGGCTACAGGACTCAGAGGGGTCACCACGGTCTGGAAACCTGGGTAAGCTTTGCAGATTCAACAACGCAGCTGAAGGAGCCCACCCAATTCTTGCAAATCTGGCCTGAGGGAGAAGAACAGACAGTTATGGAAAAAAGAGATGGGGGTATGTATGTATTCGACCTGCAATCTGAGTTTACTTACAGATGACAAAGCCCAGATATGCAGCCAGCAGCCAGGGTCCTTGTACAGAACATCAGCTATTCCTTGCTGTCCTGCTCAGCACTGGGGAGGAGCCAGCCCTGGGGAGCTTGTATTCTTGTTGAGGAAGCAAGAATCACACACATGAACTGACAACAAACTGCACAGACAGTGCCCACGGGACAGGTGGATCTGTGTGGGGCAGAGGAGCAACCCTGAAGTTTAAAGTTGAATACGTCTGCTGAGAGCAGAGTTTTCACAGAAACGGTGGGAGGAGGCGAGACTTCATCTGGACCCTGAAGGTGGACGGATAGGGGTTGGGGAGTGGAGTGAAGGAAAAGTCCAGCATGTTCATGAGTCTGTGGACAGATCAACCCATTCAGAATGGGGTTTTTATGACTGGGAGTAGGAGAAATGAAGAGTAGAAAAATAGAGTGAGCCTGATGGTGGAGGCACTTAAAAATCTGGCCAAGTAGCTCATTCATTTGTGAGTTCTGTGATCTGTCCTTCCTTCCTTTCTTCCATCTATCCATCCAGGAAATATTTTCTGAGTGCCTGGTACATACAGCATAGTGCTAGGGCCTGTGTAGGAAACAAGGAAGTGTGAGGATCAAGATGGCATCCTTACACACCTTAAGACTTAGTGAGAGTAAAGACCCTCATAGGAAAATACCACGGGTGCTCCGTAGGGTGTGGGGCATCTGCTGTGCGGAGCGCTACCAGGAGAGCAGAGGCAGGGAGAGCTCGCAGCCACAGGGGGTGATCATGGAGGTGGTGGTTGAGCTGTGCCTTGAGAGGGAGGCAAGTGTGAAAGGTGATAGAGGGCAGGTGTTCCAGGAATGGATTTCCAAGCATGGGAATGGGGACTCCAGCATTCCGTTCAGGGATGTGGTCTGTGTTGGCCACGGAGGTTGATGGACAGGGGCACCAAGAGAGAGTAAGATGGAAATGGAGAAACTCCAGAACATGAGAACAGAAAAGACCTCAGAACCTCCCCCCCTACAGCTCCCCCTCGCCTGGAGCACCTAAGAGCCTCCCATACCAGGAGGCTCCCGGACTGGGGAGCTCTCTTCTTGTGTGAACTGAAGAACACACAGGTATTAGGGTAGACTAGCTTTATAACAAACCATCTCCAAATATCAGTAGCTTAGCATTACAATCCAATGTAGTTGTCAGAGCGCCTCTGAACCACACAGTCATCCAGGGACGCAGGCTCCTTCCATCCTGTGACACCACCATCCTCACCCACAAGGCCTAAACGTTAGACAGCATGGAGAACATTCCATGGGCAAGAACCAGTCGTGTAGCCTTTCCCAGAAGCCAAGAAGCTGAGATGTAGCTTAACTGTGTGCCTACGAAGATGTAGCTTAACTGTGTGCCTAAGAAGTGGGTTTGATGAGAATCCAGCTAGAAGCTGAGATGTAGCTTAACTGTGTGCCTACGAAGAGGAAGTGGGTTTGATGAGAATCCAGCCTCTGCCATGACCTCTTACTCCATAACCCGCATGTTGAAGCGATACCGGACTTAAGAAGGGAGAAACAGAGACATAAAGAGCCAGAGGGCGCGTGGGGGACCACGGGGGCCTGGCAGCACCAGAGCTGCAGTTCTGATCCAGACCCTTCCCCTCGCCATGTCCTCATGGCGAGTGTGCCCTGAGTAGATTTACTAGCATCTCCCCGACCTGCTTCCTTATCCGCCCCACGGGAACTCTCATCCTCAAGACAGGTGATGTGGACAGCAACCTGCTCCTGACCTCCTCACGGCAGTACAAGGCCGCCTGGGAGAGTCACCCAGCCCCACCTCCGTGCCCTGGAGTCCCCTGTGCGACTGAAGATGGAGCTAAAGAACAGGATGTTAATACAGCTTCTCCATCCTGCCATGTCAGGAAGCCCTGGGCCTCTGGGCAGCACCATCGCTCTTGCCAGCTGCATGGAGCCTTTGAGCCCAGCCTCATAAAACACTCAGCAGCAGCTCTTCAACATGATCTAAACTCTGACTTGATTTAAATCTGCATCCTCTGTGGCCAAACACATAAAACACAAGATGAGGGAAAGATCTAAAACGAAGGCCTGGTGATTTAGAGGGGGGGGAGGGAGGGAGGGAGGGAGGAAGGGAGGGAGAAGCAGCTCTGGGCAATGCCAAGCTGAGCGCCCCAGGCAGGCTGTCTGCAGCCGCGGGCCGGGCCTTCTCATCACCATTGCTCAGAACGGCTCCCTTCCTACTCAGCTGCCCTGAAAAGGGACAGGAAGTCTGACAGCTTATCTGAGAACAAAACCCAGAAGCCGGCTCCTGTTTGCCCTTGGCCTTGCTCCCGCAGCCTCTAAAAATGAGAAGCTTATAGGAGCAGGGGTGAGGGTGGGAGCAAGTGGGTGAGGAGACCTGGCTTTCTATCCTCATGTTCTCTCCCAATTCTCTTAGTGAGGGGCCACCCTGAGCCAGGGCCTGGGGTTAGAGCGACTGGTGCTGTGAGGCGAAGGGGCCCGAAGGGGTGGCCTCTCTGGGTATATGGACCAGAGAGCAGAGTGAAGGGAGGGAGGCAGATCCAGGGGCAGATGACAAGGTATGTCAACAAGGCCGGGGCTCTGGAGATGACAGGGTGCATGTCAGGAGGCCCCAAGGCCATCCAGCACCCCTCAAACCCCTGTGCGTCCTGAAAAGAGCTCTCCTCCACGGAGGGCCGCAGCCACCTTGAAGGGGGTGGCTCGGATGCAGGTCCCCGCCCACGTTTTATGGTAACACAGCTGGGTGTAGCCGCCAATCAGCTCCTCCAGGTGAATAAGCGGAAAGAAGAAAATCAGGCAATCAGGCCTTACAATACAGCTAAGTATTTAATTCCTTTTAAATGTTTGCATTACTAACACCAGCACCACAAAACGACATTTTTACTTTCAAGCGTTTTACGAGTACATGTGCAATTCGGCATCTCAATTACTGGGGCCATCATAACGGGAAAACTGAAGCCGGCTCTCTCCCTCCCTCTCCTCCCCTGACGCTGACGGTGCCTTGTTTCTATAAGAGGGGTCACAGCCCCAGAAAGCCCGGTCCCCCTCCCAGGGGCTCCGCAGGTGAGCCCCGGTGGGATTTTCGAGGAGCCAGGAGGGGGCTGCATTCTGTGCTCAGTGGGGAATGAGTGACAGCTGGCACAAGGGTGTTAAAAGGGTCATCAACTCCCTGGGGGCTGGCACTGGCCAAGCCACATCCTAGGCCAGTGCCTATTAATGTGCCCAGAATGGCACTGGGTGACCCACAAGCCAGTGAGCCCAGACTTTGCTCCAACCACCCACGGAGACATGGGGGTAGGGGGGCTGGGGACCACATAAAGCAAACCAGAGGGGACCCTCCAGCCCCTCAGGAAACTCCAACTCACACAGAAACTCATCACGCATGC